AATTTTTGTATTTTTAGTAGAGACAGTGTTTCACCATGTTGGCCACGCTGGTCTTGAACTCCTGACCTCAAGTGATCCGCCAGCCTCAGCCTCCCAAAGCACTGGGATAACAGGAGTGAGCCACCGCGCCTGGCCCAGATTTCTCTACTTTTAATGGGCACCTTTGGTTTCCTCATAGAAGGTAGAAACACTTTGCTGCTCATATCTTAGAGAACCGTGTTTTAAATATTTTATAACCACTCTTTGCGTGCATGCCCTTCAGTGCCAGTAATCATTGTCAATAACATGGATAGTCAAAGTTTCTGGAAATCACAGTATTAGTCATAAAGTTGGACTTTCAGGGAACACTTTGAAGAGAGCCAAACTGTACCCTTCCTAAGTGGCCAAAGTTCAGAAAACATACTGTTAGTAACAGATTGTGGCTGAGATGGTGCTTGGTGTACACCTGTCCCTAAAATAAAGATATGAAGGCGCTACTGAAAAATGTAACTTCTCAAGTATACTTAATTCTACATGACAATCAAGGGGATGAAATCAACACATCTCTCATCTTGCCCTGTGCAGCCCAGCCCAGCCTCCCAAGTGTGGGTGATTGGATAGAGGGCTTTGTTAGGGAAAGGCTGGCTCCTGCAGACCTGCTCTGACAAGGGAACAGAGCGCGAGAGAGTTCTGTTCTTCTCCTCCCCTCCCTCTGCTCCCAGGGAAGTTAGTTTCCCCTTTGGGTGGGCATTTACCCTATACTGATTCTCTGAAACACAGCACTAGACATGAATAAAGACCATATGGGCACAAAAGGGAAGAAACCTTAACTTCATACCGTTGTCTCCCTCTCTACTCCGGAGATGGCCAGATGGGCTCTCCTTCAAAATTCGGGAAGCAGGAACTTCAGTTAGCTCGGACTTCAGTTCCTGGAAGGCCAAAGTGTCCAAATTCCATGTAGAAACTGCATTAAAAGAAAGAGACAAAATTTTACTATAAGAAAAATATGGCCCAAGGATTGACTATGTTGAGGATGACATTTGAATAGGCTGCCGGCTGGGCATGGTGGCTCATGCCTATAATTCCAGTACTTTGGGAGGCTGAGGCAGGCAGATCACCAGAGGTCAGGAGTTCGAGACCAGCCTGGCCAACATGGTGAAACCCTGTCTTTGCTAAAAATACCAAAAAACCAGCTGGGTGTGGTGGCAGGCTCCCGTAATCCCGGCTTCTTGGGAGGCTGAGGCAGGGGAATTGCTTGAACCCAGGAGGTGGAAGTTGCAGTGAGCCAAGACTGCACTATTGCGTTTCAGCTTGGGCAACAAGAATGAAACTCTGTCTCAAAACTAACTAACTAGATAAGTAGGCTCCCAAAGATATGGTGTTTGAGATTTGATTTTAAATAAGGACTGGGGGTGGGGTAGGGGTCAGAGAAGGGAAGATAAAAACTGATTGGACTGTGCTGATAACGGTTGGGCCTGAGTGATGGCTACATTGGAGTTCATTGTAGTCTCTATACTTTTGTGAATGTTTGAACAATCCCATAATTAAAAATCTCATAAATAATAAATTGCATAGCAATGTGCCTGCCTTACAGTAGGATATTCAAAATCAAATAAGGTTTTAATTAATTTCCACTAGAAGGGCTGATTTGTGAATAGGTGAGCTGTAATTTCAGGAATATGGAGACAGTCCTCAGCATCTTCTTAGATGTCTGAATTTCAACAATTAAAAATTCACGAAAAATTAGCTGGGCATGGTGGTAAGCATCTGCAGTCCTAGGTACTTGGGAGGCAGATGTGGGAGGATTGCTTGTGCCCAGGAGTTCAAGGCTGCATTGAGCTATGATCCTGCCACTGTACCCCAGCCTGGGTAACAGAGCAAGGCCCGGTCTCAAAAACAAACAAACAAACAAACAAAAAAAGAGGCCAGGCACAGTGACACACGCCTGAAATCCCAGCACTTTGGGAGGCCAAGGCGGGAGGATCACTTGAGGCCAGGAGTTCAAGATTAGCCTGGCCAACATCGCGAAATTCCATCTCTACTAAAAATACAAGAATTAGCCAGGTGTGGTGACACGTGCCTGTAGTTCCAGATACTCAGGAGGCTGAGGATCATTGAACTCAGGAGGCAGAGGTTGCAGGGAGCCGGGATTGTGCAACTATACTCCAGCCTGGGCAACAGAGCAAGACTCTGTCTCAAGAACAACAACAAAAAGAATTTAATTGTGGCTCATGTCTGTAATCCCAGCACTTTGGGAGGACAAGACAGGAGGAGCACTTGAACCCAGCTGTTCAAGACCAGCTTGGGCAACATAGGGAGACTCCTTCTCTTAAAAAAAAAAAAAAAAAGATAAAACTGTACTGCATGATTTAAGGTTTCTTCCCTTGTTATATGCAAATATTCTTGTAAGAAGTAACATATTAAGCTTTATACTTTCAGTAGAAATATTCTGCCTGATTCCTTTCTGAGACCAGTTTTGCCTAATGGAGAGGCAGTGTGCGCACAGTTCCTACAGGAGTTTGGGGTGGGGGCGGCGCGCCATACAGAAGGGAAGCGGGTGGGCAGCACTGGTTAGACAGTAAGTGATCACAGTGTGCTACATGTCTCTACTCTTGCTTAGGATTATGATCTCACAACAGTTCTTGAATACGAGGATGAGGCAATAGCCACAAGGAACAGGCTTGGCTGTTTTAAAATGCAGTTTGGCCAGGCATGGTGGCTCACACCTGTAATCCCAGCATTTTGGGAAGCCAAGGCAGACAGATCACTGGAGCCCAGGAGTTCAAGACAAACCTGGGTAACATGGTGAAACCCCATCTCTACAAAAAATACAAAAAGTTAGCCAGGTGTGGTGATGTGTACCTGCAGTCCCAGCTACTTGGGAGGCTGAGGTGGGAGGATCACTTGAGCCCGGGAGGTCAAGGCTGTGGTGAGCAGTGACCGTACCACTGCACTCCAGCCCCGGCATAGAGTGAGACCCTGTCCTCCCCTCCAACCTCCCAAAAAACCCATCACGTGCACACAAAAACAAATAAAACGCAGGTTTGATGAGTATTCAGGTATGGCAAGGCCAACATCCCAGGAGGCAATTGTCACTGAAAAGCAAGTTAAAGCCAAATTATGGAGACAGTAAAAAGATCAGCAGTTTTTGGGTGAGGAAGGGATGACGAGGTGAGGCATAGAGGATTTTTAGGGCAATGAATACTGTGTATGATGCTATAATGGTGGACACACGGCACTATGCATTTGTCCAAACCCATAGAAGGCGCAACACCAAAAATGAACTCTAATTTAAACTGTGGACCTTGGGTGATGTGATGCAGGTTCATCAGCTGTAACAACTGCTCTGGTGGGAGATGATGATAATCGGGGAGGCTGTGCACGTGTAGGGGCCAGTAGTATCTGGGAACTCTCTGTACTTTTCTCTTGATTTTGCTGTGAACATAAAACTGCTCTAAAAAAAAAAAATCATTTTTACAAGTTGTTGTACTCACAGATCCCTAGAGGAAGGGGGCCACACTAAGCCCAGGAGGCCACCTGGGGAAGCACCAGGGTTGCTCCAGAGGAAGAGGGTGCCGGGGGAAAGTGTGGGAAAGAGCTTTTATTCTTTCTATGGGAAGAGAAGGGGAGGCAGGGTAAGCAGGTTTAGGGTTGGGGAGTTTGAATAATTTCAGCAGGCTCTGGGGTCATAGGCATTTTCTCTAATTGTCTGGAAGCAGGCCCTGGGGTGATTAGGTCAGGGGGACCGTGGCCTTGAGTTTGAGCCAGATGGAGGCGGTCACAGGTTGTAGGCTGTGGACTGGTTGGTTTGCATATGAAAGCTGTGCTCCCAGGCGAGTCCTTTGCTATCTGTAGGAACTGGAGGGGCAGTCCCTCCAGTGTTTTCAAGGCCCGGACAGCAAAGCATCAGAATAAAAAGACACGCTTAATACACTGGGCTTTTCTCTTGCTGAACCTCTGAGTCACTTCTCTGCCCTTTGAGCAACTTATTCCCCACTCAGGATTCTCCGGTGTTCAGGACAGTGGGAAGAAAGTGAGTGCATCCCCTGAGGCCGGGGCGCCTACACAGCTGAGGGTCAGGAACACATGTTCTGCCTTTGATCATTTGTTTGCTCAACTCTCCTAAATTTAGATTTCTGGCAGAGAGGATCACCACAGCAGTCTTAGTCCTCTGGTTGTACCACATTTCATCAAAGCCACACATTATTTTACATTTTCACATCTCCGGAATCAGAGTACGTTGTTTGAGTTGCTGGGGTTCGGCTTCAACAAATTATGGTATTGGAAAAAAATTCTCCCTGGAAGGAACTGAAGAAAACATTCAGCTAGCTCTCAGGGACAGCCCTGCTGCCCACGGTGAGCCAGCTCAGCAGCTGCTGCAGCTGCCTACCCCCGATCCCAGCTACCTTTCTCTCCTCTCCACCCCGGCCTCTGTGGCTGCAGTTGTTCAACAAGCCTCCCTGAGAGTGTTAATGCCCTGGAGGTGGGTGGGTCCTCCATCCCTGGGATATCCCTCAGTCTAGAGTGCACCATGTGAGTAGTTAAAACCCATAAGCTGGCCAGGCGCAGTGGCTCATGCCTGTAAACGCAGCACTTTGGGAGACTGAGGTGGCGGAATTGCATAAGGCCAAGAGTTTGGGACCAGGCTGGGCAACATAGCGAGACCCCATCTCTACAAAAAATTAAAAAGTTAACTGGGTGTGGTGGTGCAGCCTGTGGTCTCAGCTACTCAGGAGGCTGAGGCAGGAGGATGGCTCTTGAGTCCAAGAGGGTAAGGCTGCAGTGAGCCATGATCATGTCACTGCACTCCAGCCTGGGTGACAGAGTGAGACCCTGTCTTTAAAAAAAAAAAAAAAAAAAAGTCTCATAAGCCAAAATGTATAGACAACTGAGGACATCCTCAATGTGCCTTCCAAACTCCAGGGGCAATTGGGAGTAGCCCCAGGGACATGGCAGGCTTTCATTATCCCTAGCCTCAAATCCACAGAGCTATTTATCCATCCTTTCAGTCACATTGCTGGAGCACCTATTGAGTAGAAGGCTGTGCTAGGTGCTCAAGATAACAGGTGTCTAAGACACAAGTTTGTCTAATAGGCTAGTCTATGTTAAACACACACACACACACACACACACACACAGTTGGTCCATGCCCTTAAGGAAATCATAATCTGGCAAAGTCCTCATAGCCGAGAAGGAAAATGGGTTTATTCTGGGCTGCTGCAGAAACCAGAGTCTCTTGGACAATCCCAATGGCTCCTGAAGAGTCCTGGAAATTCTATTTCATTCCCTGCCTCTCCTTCTCCCTATCTGAGGTTCTGCGGGGATGAGGAAACCCCTTTGTTCTTCATTCTAAAGGTTGCATTGGCCTAGGAGGCTATCCAGGGCAGGGACTGATTCACTAGATCAAATGGAGGTTCCTTAGACCAACCTGAGACCACTACCAGCTGCTTCCCTTCTCCCCCTGTGCAGGCACCACACACCTCTGGCAGGGACTTGGTGCTGCCCATGGGGGAGAGGGACAGGGTGCCCGAGGTTCCCTGTTCTTCTGTGCTGCCAGGGGGAGGTAAGAGAGCGTGACCCCCTTCCTGTACACAGGGTGGCAGAACCATCTGGAACCTCCCTCTGTGCTGCTGCCTCGCCCATTGCCACGCCTTCTCTCTTAGGCCCAAAACACACACCCAGGCTGTTAGGAGCAGCCCACCGCTGCCTGGCCTTCCCAGCCTCCTGCAATGTGCAGAGGCTTATACGATGTGGCAAACTCTTGCCAGGACAATTTTTCAAAATCAGGGCATTAAGCAAGTTCCTTGAATTGAGCTGGTTTCCTTTCATCTGTACCTTTTCTTGGATCACTGCAGACTCTGCCTCAGGACAATTCAAGTTTCTTTTCTTTCATTGTCTCAACTCTCAGAATATAAGAGTTGCTGAGCACAGTGGCTCACGCCTGTAATTCCAGCACTTTGTGAG